GGTGTATAGAATCCATAGGTCGTGTATTTTGGAAGAAATACTAGAGGCTTCCTTTCGACTTCGGGCACTATTTTTGCACTAAAGTCGGCGACGAAGTCGGCAAGTACTTGCGACTTTATCGTCGTCCGCGGCTGATAGGTTATATCGTGCTCGCTCAGTTCTATGGCCCATTTGGCCAACCTATCCGACAGCTCGGGTTTGTGCAAGATGCTCCTTAGAGGAAAGGTCATGACCACTGAGATGGGGTGGCACTTGAAATAGGGTCTAAACTTTTGTGAAGCTACAACCAAGGCTAGGGCTAGTTTCTCGAGGTGGGGGTACCTCGTTTCAGCGTCGACCAAAGTTTTGCTAATATAGTAGATTGGAGACTGTGTACCTTTATTTTCTCGAACCAGAACTGCACTTACCACCACATCGGACACGCCCAGGTAGATGAGGAGACGTTCTCCAAGCTCAGCCTTAACAAGCAACGAGGGCAAATATAGGTACGCCTTTAGTTCTTTTAAGGTGTCGACGCACTCGGAATTCCATTGGAGTCTGTTGTCCTTTTTGAGAATGCCGTAAAATTTGTGGCACCTAGCAGAGGACTGTGAGATGAATCTTGACAGAGCATCTATACGACCGGTCAGCTTCTACACTTGCTTCTTGCTGATCAAGTTCTCTGGTATTCCCTATATGGCCTTGATTTGACCGGGGTTGACTTCGATGCCTCGTTGTGATACTAAGAAACCAAGGAACTTTCCCGAAGTTACACCGAAGGCGCATTTCTCGGGGTTCAGTTTCATGACGTACCTCCTAAGTATGTCGAAGGCCTCCTTCAAGTGGTCGATGAGGTATTCCTTTCTTTTCGACTTGACCTCATGTCGTTTATATATACTTTCATGGTTTTGCCGAGTTGATTTTTGAATATTTTGGTCACCAGCCTTTGATATGTCGCCCCTACGTTTTTCAACCCGAATGGCATAACCTTGTAATAGTACGTCCCCTGGTGGGTGATGAAAGTCGTCTTTTTCTGTTCTTCCTACTCCATGAGGATCTGGTTGTAACCCAAATAGGCATCTAGGAAACTTAATAGCTCGTGCCCGGCCGTTGCGTCGATGAGTTGGTCAATATGGGGCAGTGGGGATGAGCCTTTCGGGCACGCTTTGTTCAAATATGTGAAGTCTATGCATATCTGCCATTTCTCATTTTTCTTTTTTACCATGACCATGTTGGCGACCCATTAGGGATATTTTATCTCTCTGATAGAGCTGATCTCAAGCAATTTTTCCACCTCCTCGCGAACAACATCATTTATCGCGGCATTGAATTTTCTTCTAACTTGCCGTACTGGGGGGTGGAATGGGTCAACGTTCAATTTATGTGTTGTTATCTCCTTCGGGATGCCCAACATGTCTACATGGGAAAAAGCAAATAGTTCTACGTTATTTTTTAAGAATTGATAGAATTTACCTGGTTCTTGGAGTTTGTGGCCGATGAAAGCTTTCTTGTTGTGGCTGTTATCATCGAGTTGGATGGGGTTGAGATCCTCTACGGTTGACCCTGTGGCTTCTACAATTTTGGGGTCTCTGATAACATCTTTCCCTTTATCACTATCTGACCCCGACTTCGTTAATTGCTATGCCTTATCGGCTTTTCCTTTCAGTTGTTGGTTGTATGTGCAATCTTGGGCGATGTGGTAGCATTCTCGGGCAGTGCATTGCTCTCCTGGGATGCTGAATACTCCCTAGGGGTGGGAAATTTGATAACTTGATATAAGCTGGAGGGGACAACTCTCATGGAGTGTATCCAAGGTTGACCTATGATGGTATTGTACGCAGTATCCTGGTCCATAATATGGAATGTGGTCTCTAAAGTGACGTCGCCGGCTAAGACACTCAGCATGATTTCTCCAGATGTCCGCTCAACTACATTGTTAAAACCCATCAGTGTGATGCAGCGTGGCACTATCCTATCCTCGAGCTTCATTTGGGTGAGAACTCGAGGGTGGATGATGCACGCACTGCTCCCGTCATCGACCATAATACATTTTACATCAGTATCTAAAACGTGTAAAGTAATGACAAGAGCGTCATAGTGAGGAAAAACCAAACTGTGGGTGTCCGACTTATCGAAGATGATACTTTCTTTGAGTTCGTCATACCGTTTTATGAGTGATTGATTGTTTGAGTTTGTGGGTGGTGGTGAACTTCACGTTGTTGATTGATGCGTCGTCGCCCCATTCGATAATCATTTGAATGGTTCAAGCTTGAGAAGGTGGTTTGGGCGGTCCCTGGTGTTGTTCACGTCCTCGGGCAAAGTTGGCTCTCCCCCAGTCGCTTATCAGCTCTTTCCAGTGCCCTTGGTGAAGCATGTTCATGACCTCATATCTCAGGGCGATACAATCCACGGTTTTGTGGCCCCACTCCTGGTAGAATTCGCAGAGGGCATTCGACTTTCTGGTGCTTGGGTCGGATCTCATCTTCTGCGGCCACTTCACTTTTGGGCCGAGCTTCTCCAGTGCGTAGACTATTTATGAGGGGGAAACACAGAAATTTTGAGCAGATAATAAATGGGGCATACCTCTCTCAATTTGGTGGGTTCCCGTTCGTGGCCTGGATGGGCCTTCGCCGTGGCGTGGAGACGGCATGAGGGCACCTCTGACATAGGGCTGATGTATTTCCCGATTAGGTTGAGGTCCCACTAGATCCCTCTTGTTGTCACTTCTCCGGTCCTTCCTAGACTCCATTTGGACCGAGGTCAACCGTTGAGGTCATCCTCGTCAGCTCTTACCTCCGCACAGTAGGTGTCGTGTATCTCGTCCCAAGTGGTTGGAGGGTATTTCATGAGTCAGCTTAGCAACTTTTTGGTTGCCCTCAACCCACTTCTGCTTAGCCCATTTTGGAAAGTGGCTACCGCCATCCCTTTAAATACATTTGGAAGGGTCATTCTTACACGGTTGAATCGGATAAGGAAGTCCCTGAGTTTTTTGCCAAGCGATTGTTTAATGGAAAATATGTCATTCACCCTCGCCTCTACTTTCTTAGACCAGGCATGAGCGATAACGAACTTGTCTGTCGTCTCCTCGAATATTTCTATGGAATGCATAGGTAACTCTGAGTACCAAATCACCGCTCCCCGATTAGGGTTTCCCCAAACTTCTTCAGCAATATGGATGACACTTGTTCTTTGGCGAGGTCGTTGCCTTTCACTGCAGTGACATAGTGGGTCACGTGATCCTCCGGGTCCATCGTGTCATCATATATTTTTAAGTACGACGGTATTTTGAAGGTTTTAGGTATGGCGTGCAGTGCAGCCTCATCACTGTACCGTTGTTCCACGAATCGGCCAACGTCCCTTTTGGCAAAAGCTTTGGGGCACCCAGTATTTTTTCTACCCTTTCTTGATGCTCTTTCATTTGGTTTCGGAATATTTTATTCCCGTTCTCCATCTCCTCCATCTTCTTCAAAATGACTGTGAGGGTGTCGTTTCCTGTATCACTAGCATTGTGAGTAATACCTGTTACAAGGGTCGTGCTGCTCGTTAGCTGTTGATGCGATGCAGACCCTTGCCTCTTCTCTATTTGGCCTTTGAGCGGGCTTGTCGAGGAAGCCAGTTAGCGTGTTTGTCAACCACGCCTCGAGTAGCTTTTTCACTGCCGATGGTGCCTCTTTTGTTGTAGATGTAGAGGCCCCTTTGCCGTGCGAGTTCGTGATGGTACCGTGAGGTGGAGGGCGAGCTGTTTCACCTAGGAGAGGTGTTTGGTGTTATATCTTCGCCCTCCGTTTCATCCACTTCGTTGATGGTGTGGAGAAGGTTGGTGGTGAGGTCGGCTATCGCCTTCCTCTTTTCCTCTTCGTTGCCTGCCATGTTAGATTTGTGCACATAAGGAAATATAGGGTTTTTACAAAGTTTTTTTTAAATATAGAAGAAACTAAAATTTTAACTAGAAAATCCCCACAAACGACGACAAATTGTTTGACCAAAAAGTATGAAACCTTTTGTTAAACTAATTAAATAAGAAGATAATGGGTAAATCCTAATTAAATATAATAAATCCTAGATCAAAAGCGTACTTGCACAGATATCGTGGAAATGCATTTTAATCAATTTAATACAGCGGGTATTAAAATATACTGTTATGACTGAGTGGGAGAATACTGATAAGCAATAAGTATATTAAATGGTAATAGATATAAATAGAGAGAATGATTCACCCAAACATTAAATGAGGTGGATGATTCTTTCCTCTGACAATGATGTAAGACAAATGAATATGAGAATATATGGGGCTTTCTCGAATCTGATGCGAGAAATATGGGATAAACAACAAATTGAATCTTTATGGAAAGACAATATTTGTATTTCTCTTGAGAGTCAACTTTTCATAAGAGTTCTTGTCATATAAAATATTACATGCCTTTTGCCTTATTTCTCCTATTATTTATATGAGATATTCCCAAAGAGCCCTAAAAAAATACAACAGAAGGAATATTCAATGAAATATTTTCTTTGAAAGTTCCAAAGCCATACTAGCCGTTATTTCTGTTCCTACCGCTCGAGTTCGGCCCTAATATGCCACTCAACGGCTCATTCTTGTTAACCACTGATCGACCTCGACCAAGTCGCCCGTGACGAGTTACAATCCTCACATTTGATACCTCTTCGTACCGAGTTTTCAGTCGGATTTTGACCCATACAAGTATAAATATTCAAATGATAGCCGTTAATTTTTCTTTTATTAATGTATATAAATTAAACTCATAAAGTTTTAGAGAATTAGAAGAACGAGATCAAAAGTGCAAACTTTGATGATGTGTGCCTCTTCCTTGTGACTTCTTTAGCAAAACAAGAGATATACAGATCTCAGCCTGAAATATTTACTTCAACAAAACCTATTGCCTTATAAAATACTGAATTATTCAAGAAAAGGAATACGAGTGCGAAAGTTTATATTCTTCAAGAATTCAGAGGAGCTAATGTAATTTGAGGAAAAAGTATGGGTCAATTGCAAATGTTTGAAAAGTTGAACGCACACTGAGCTCCACCTCTTCTCTCTCTGAAGTCTAAGCTAGTCTCTGTCGGATCTCACAGTGGATATTACATTCTCACATCGATCCGAGTCGAGTCGCTACTGACTCAAAATGCCGAGTCGACTCATCCTCCTCATTTCTCTCTCTTCCCTTCTTCTCTTCTCTCTCTTACTCACCCCTTCACTCGCCAAACCTCCTGCCTCTGCCGCCGACGACGATGACGCAGACCTCAGCTTCCTCGAAGCCGACGACGAAACCGACGCCGCACAGCACAACACTTTCCCAACCGACACCTTCTCCGACAACGAAGATTTCGACGACGAGGAGGACTTCGAAAATTACGACGATTTCGAAGTCCCGTCGGCGTTCGACAACGAGGCGGAGGAGGAAGATGAAGGTCCTAAGTTCGACGATAAAGACGTCGTCGTTTTGGGGGATAGAAACTTTACTGACTTCGTGGAGGACAATAAGTATGTGATGGTGGAGTTCTACGCGCCGTGGTGTGGGCACTGCAAGGAACTCGCTCCGGAGTATGCCACCGCGGCGACGGAGCTGAAGTCGGAGAATGTGCTGTTGGCCAAAGTCGACGCCACGCTGGAAAATGAGCTGGCAGAGAATTATGAAGTTCAAGGATTTCCTAGTATTTATTTTTTTGTTGATGGTGAACACCAACCTTATAATGGCCAAAGAACCAAGTGAGTCTTCTTTCTTTACTATAAGCTCAAGAATCAGTACTTCACGAGTTTATTTTGGCGATCATGGTTTTTCATAAATGGAAAAAGATTAAATGATGGAAAATCTTCGATTTTTGCATACAATAGATTTTAGGCTTTTAGCTAATTTAATTATGAGCAATGGAGCAGCCATAAATTTATACAAGGGGATTTAAAAAAGATACTACAATGTCACCCCTAGTAGTTGAACATGCGATCTAAAGCAATTTCTAAAGGGATTCAACAGTTCATATATAATAAACAAAAAAAGATTATTCTTTTCTTCTATTTACATATAATATTTCGATGAAGCCGATTCAGTAGAACCCCTTATTCCTACCTAGGTCTTCCCCTGATTATGAGCTTCTAATTTTCTATTATGTTTCTCGCCTTCTAAAATGATTTCTGATAAATTGCGCCAGCTTGTAATTGCATACATATTTTTTATATTATGGCAGCACTGATGGTGTAGTCAATCTTCCTTCATGTCCGAGAAAATTAATGAGTCTTTCGTTTTCAGTTAGATAAGTGTCTTGTGACATTTGTTTTCATATAAGGGTAAAAATAAGCAGCAGCCAGTTTGCAAAAATGGGGTCTTTAGTTTCGTAACGTCAAGTGGAAAAGTTTTACAAATCATAACAGTGGCAATTTCCTTGGTTCCTTTGCAAATCCTTCTCATAGATTAGCATACTCAAGTTAAACAGCCATAGAAGGGCCCAAATCGAGGACTTCGGCACGCTCCTTTAAACAGTTTTTGTTATGAATCTTGATTGAAAGATGATTGTTTGAAGCAGATATATTCCCTTTTCAGTACATGGATTTTTTGGATTTGTTAGGAAGGAAAGTGTAGTAGGCTGCTTATTTGGTCTCTATATGAGTTTTATGATCTTGGTACCCCCTTTCAATAAACTTCTACTTGTATAAAAAGAAGAAGAAGATATATTCCCCTTCTCCTTCCTTTCTTTTCTGCTTTTGGATTATCAAATGCACTTGTATGCTGGTCTTAAGTTGATAAGAACGTTTCACTTCTAGAGATGCAATTTTGACTTGGATCAAGAAGAAGATTGGACCTGGCATTTACAACATAACAACAACAGAGGACGCAGAGCGTGTACTAACCTCTGAGAACAAAGTTGTTTTGGGGTTCCTTGAGTCCCTGGTGGTATGTATTGCGTACTCTAGCATGCTACTTTTTACACATTCTTATTGGTTACTTGTACTGGGTTGTTGTTATGTTGCTCGAGTCCTCCAAAAATGTCGCTGCACCAATGCTGGATCCTCACAGAATGAATAACTTTTGAAGGACTCAACACGCACCGTCTACATTTTTGAAGGATCCGAGCAACATGGGTTGTTATTGCATATTTCAGTTCTTATTGATATACTGCTTGCTTTAGCTTTGTGAGGTTTCTCCTGGTTATGGGGATAGCTTTTTCTTTCTATATTTTGGGTGGTTAAATAGTACAATATGAACTTTCTACGGCTCACAAATATTTATTTTCTGACGTTATGAAAATCATTGTGGGCATTTTTGTGGCACTTAAGTGAATTACTTTTTTTCATTACCATATGCAATGAGCTTCATTTATTGGGAACATAATATTCCCTTCTATGCTTTTGGGCATTTTTGGCAACCCAACTGTTTGCTTTTATTCATTGTTATGGAGTTTAACTTTGAACCTATCTCTTTTTCTTTTTGAGTTCTTGATAGCATCATATGGACTGTCTGCGACTAAACCTTTTTACCAGTCAATGGGCTCTTATCATTTGATTCCTCATGTTGTGATTGTTTAAACAATTACAGGGTCCTGAAACTGAGCAGCTTGCAGCTGCTTCAAAACTTGAAGATGGCCTTAACTTTTACCAGACAACAAATCCTAACGTGGCTAAGCTATTCGCCATTGAAGATATTGCTAAACGCCCTGCTCTAGTCTTTCTTAAGAAGGAAGTGGAGAAAGTGGTGCATTATGGTTAGCTGGTCCCTTTATCCCTTTTACTATTTGTTTTTAATTACCGAAATTGTATCTTCTCTTTTGGATAACGTATCTGAAGAAAAGAGAAACCCCACTTACTTGTTTGATTTCTGCTCTTATGTATATGGGCAACTTGATTGTTGCAAGCATTTTAAGTACATCTAGTTTTCATTTTAGTGCAATGCATATATATCGCATGGTACCAAATTTGGAGGTTTCAGGTTAATATTGAGATTGGAAACCTACATACTTTATGTGCAGAATGGAATTTTATGCCCACATGTTTGTTCAAATCAACAAATTTAAATGGAACTCAGTACTTTGCCAATTTCAATATCCAAGTTTATTTTTTAGTGGAATCTCGGGTTGCTAACTTAAGATCTTTCTGCTTATAGATATTTTTACCATCCAAATTTCATTTTTCAATTTCATTGTTTTGGTCTCAAATGGGTCCGATTGAAGCTAAACGAAATGCTATTTTATGGATTACTTTCAGGGCCATGGAGGTTGTTTTAAGTGGGACTAATTTCTAGTATCCAACCTAGCTGCTTTCTTTCTTACTGTATAATCTTTTCGAAGTTTGGGAAGAACTAAAAGAAAGACAAATAGGATATGACTCATTTTCTTTTTCTTGAATTTTGGCTTCAGATGGTCAATTCACCAAGTCTGCAATAGCTAAGTTCGTATCTGCTAATAAGCTTCCTCTTGTGACAACTTTTACTAGAGATACAGGGCCTTCAATTTTTGAGAGTCCAATTAAGAAGCAGGTAATTTAGATGTGTTATTGCATAATATAGTGACTTTTGTGTAATGGAACTATGGAAGTGTATCTTTCTCTTTTACAAATTGTGATTAATGCATTTACTCAGGTCTTGCTTTTTGCCACAACAAATGATACGGATAAAGTATTCCCAACATTTCAAGAAGCTGCAAAACTTTTCAAGGGAAAGGTAATTAAGCTTCATTTAGTATGTGATGTCAACAATATAGGTGTCTGGTTTCATACAGAAGGCTAATTATGTGGAACCATCACTTAGAATTGCTTTATGTTAGCAGAAGATTGCTTCTTACATTAAATCACCCTGCTTGCCCCTTAGTTGTGGTCATTAAGAGGATGAAGAGGAGTGAAATCGATATACACACAGCACTTTTACAACCATGAGAGATATTCATAGGAAATTTTATTTGATCTTGTTGAGTAAAACATTAAGCAAACATTTAGAATTCATAACCTCTTCGTTAGAAAGAACGTTTTTTGTGTTGCGCAGGAAATTTCCATCTCTCAAATGTCCTTCACGTATCTTTATAATGACTTAGACATTGATAACACCAATTTCAACTAAAATACGCATCAGATACACACATATACTCTTGTATACTATTTGTTTTTCTGTTACTCTTGTCTTGTGTGCTATTCAAGTTATCTCATTGGGGTAAATGCAAATTGTGGATCTAAAGTTGAAGGGTTTATGTGTGTCGGGGGAGTGAGATGTGATGAGGGTGGTGCTATGGTGATCACGACGAGATTGAGCTGAGTGCTTTTCCGTAGTTGGATGGGAAGTCATGATTCACCTATATAACACCNTTGAACAACTGCATTTTTTTGTTATATTTTGGGTGTAAAGGAACATGCAAATGGGGCAGAATCAGTTTTAGATCTCATAGGATACCTCCATGAATAGGAGGAGGAGATACTTCTGGTTTTTGGCTTCCCTCTGTACAGCACTGTCAGCACCATCTTAGTGCTGAAGTTGTAAAATCCTACTTACCTCTTCTAAAAAGAAGAATGTAAATTGAATGCTTGTAGTTCCACATTAGTTGAAAAAATAGGAGAATCTTAAAATTAGACTCCTCTAGATTGGTTTATTAGCTGACTTCTTTCATTTTCCCACAGATTTTCCTATCTTAAGGAATAAAAAAACTAGCAGGAAAATAATTTGTAGCACAACCCTTATCAAGTTGTACCCCTCCCCTCCACCCCCGAAAAAGGGAGGGGCCTAAAGATTCCTGCAGTGCCAACTCCAGATAGCCAGATTAATTCATTTTCATGATCAACCCACACAGTTTGAAATGTAAATCTCCATTAAGTTCCATGATCTGCAAAACATCGTGGAGGCACTGGAAGACCACTGCTTTTTGGAATGAAAAGAAAAGCTCACTTCTCTTCTTGATTATTTTTTATCTGTGAACCATTTTCATGTCTAATGTCACCCTTTAGGAGTCATGCTTAAATTGTTACCTGGAATTAAAGCGTTATGTCTTTTATCTGATTTGATATTCCGTTGCCATTAATTTGTTAATAGTTTTGTATCATGGTTTTTTTTTCTTTTCTTTTTCCAAGTTTAGAATCATAGTTTCTTATTCATATATTCTGCCTTCTTGGTAGTGGGGGTTGAAGGTGCACATGATTATTGATATAGCTTTGGACAGTATACGTTGAATAAAAATAACTTTTTTTACACGTTAAAGGAAAAATTGCTAGCAGACAAGTGTGCTCTAATGCCTGATGACTGAAAAGCAGTATAATCATGGATGTTTCAACTCAACTTCATTATTCTGTGTTAATTTTGAAAAGTTTGCAGGGAGATAAGTTTCCGTTCAAAGCTGAAGTTGTAAAATTCCAAAATTTTGTTAAAATTTTCAGTATCTTTTCTCCATTCATTGCGTGCAATATTAATAAAGTAATACAATAGTCATAAAGTAAATAATGTACTGGGAACAGAGATTATCCAGATTACTACATATCTTCCATAAACTTTGCAGCAAAAATTCAAAACTCTGACCCCCTTGGCTGTATATTTGCTGTCTGAGATGGAAATGTAGTTGTGCTGCTGATCTGCATGATGATGACGAAACTATCAATTGACTAAAACCATGTATTCTTTTCATGGATAATTGCAGCTTATCTTTGTTTTTGTCAATATGGATGATGAAGAAGTTGGAAAACCAGTATCGGATTATTTTGGAGCCACTGGAGATTCTCCAAAGGTAATAATCAACAGATTATAATGGACAAGAGGGGACTTTTTGGAACCAAGGTTGCAATATTTATCATCTTGTTTGTTTGTTTCCTGTAGGTTATTGGATATACAGGTAATGAGGATCCCAGGAAATATATTTTTGATGGGGAGATCACTGTTGAGAAGCTTAAGGTAGAATGCCTCCTTTTGTTTGTTGGTGACATTCTTATTAACTACTTCAATCAGGAAGTGTGGGACTGCATTTTTCTCATCTTTTTTATCTATCAGGCGTTTGGAGAGGACTTTCTGGGAGGCAAGCTTAGAGCTTTCTATAAATCAGACCCTATTCCTGAGAATGTAAGGTGTGATTTCACTTCCTGGCCTATGATTTGTGACGTAGTTGTGCTGATTCAGCTCTCTGTTTCATGTCTTGATTATTACAGAATGAGGGGGATGTGAAGATAGTAGTGGGGAACAATTTTGATGACATTGTTCTAGATGAGTCAAAAGATGTGCTTCTGGAGGTATTAGACAAGCTACTAAAGGCTGTACAATGAATTCTTTTTTTCTTGTTTCCTTTTCATTACTCAGGATTCTATTTGTAGTATTCAATTTTACTTTTTTGTTTTTGTTTAGATCTATGCACCATGGTGTGGTCATTGCCAAGCTCTAGAACCAACATATAACAAGCTCGCAAAGCACTTACATGGCGTTGAGTCTCTTGTTATAGCCAAAATGGATGGTACCACAAACGAGCACCCTCAGGCAAAGGTAGTTCGATAGTTTGTAGTGTTGATCAGAACAAGATTGTATAGTTTGGTCACGAGCTGCTGCTTTTCCTAATTGCTTTTGCTACAGTATTTACCGGTTTTCGTTGTTCATTTGTGTGTGCTGCCTGAGAGTTTCTTTCAAGTCATTTGTTGGATGCAATTGTTGAATGGAAGATCATATGCACTCCTTTGCAGGCTGAAGGATTTCCTACACTCCTCTTCTTCCCAGCTGGGAATAAGAGCATCAATCCTGTAAGTGATAGTTATTTTGTTTGTTCTCGGCTTCTCTAAAATAAGCAAATTAGCTAGTCTTAATGTATGTTTTATGATTCTACAGATTCCAGTTGATGCTGACCGAACTGTGGTGGCGTTGTACAAGTTTATCAAGAAACATGCATCTATTCCTTTCAAGCTTCCAAAACCAGCTTCTTCAACTACATCGGAGAGTTCCGAAGCCAAAGAAGGTGCCAACGTCGATTCTAGCCATGGAAAAGACGAACTATGAAAATTACATAGGTCTGTTACTTTTTCTTGGTTATTCTCCTAGCTTCTTGTAGTAGGACTAGATAAACGGGCTAGATAGATAACCACGGAACATTTTTCTTTTCTTCCTTTTATTTCTTATTTGAGTTTAAAGTTTTCTGTCACTCTATCAATGATGTTGTAATCAATAGAAGCTGTTTTTGGATAAGATGTACTCAAAAAACATAAGTATAACTAGTGACACACGATGCTGAGACTTGACAAATGAATTATTGAAAGATGTTAAAAATGTGAATACAACAATTCACTAGATAAGAAAGGCACAGCGGATCTTAGTCATCCCAAGCCTAGTAATTTGATACTTAACATCAAAAATCAAGTTTTTTTGTTAGAATTCCAAAATTTGTCCAAATTCCCCAAGAACACAGCTTTAGCGATTATGGTGACTCTGTCGCAATTATTTCTTTTATAATTATGGTGTTCAGGTTAGTTTGTGTACACCTTGACTATAACATAACATTCTTGCTATCTACTGGTATTGAAAATCTCAAGAAACATTGACACGGTAATACAAACGGGAGTTGCTCAGGTTTAAAATTCTTCTGCATAACCAAATCTTCAAATCATAATCGAGACCGTTTTCACCTTACCAATATGAATAGGGAGAAATTCAAAAATAGCTAGATTTATACGTGGTAATTGAAAAATAGTCACGGTTTCAAAAGTAATTGAAATTTAGCCATTTTTCATGTACAAGATAAATCTGAACAAAAACACTGTTCAAAATGAGGAAATATTCCAGCATAATATACCGGAGTTTGAATTTTTTACATGTGAACTTGTTATGCTGGAATTCCATAATGTGCTGGAGTTCCAACATAATATGCTGGAAGTCCATACACATGTGCTCCAATCTCCAGTATATTATGCTGGAACTTTCCGTGTGCTGGAGTTCCAACATAATATGCTGGAAGTCCATACACATGTGCTCCAATCTCCAGTATATTATGCTGGAACTTTCCGTGTGCTGGAGTTCCAACATAATATGCTGGAAGTTCATACATAGGTGCTCCAATCTCCAGTATATTATGCTGGAATTTTCCGTGTTGCAGCAAAATAGTGACTATTTTCAATTACCAGTTCGAAAACTGGCTAGCCCTGCTATTTTGACAATAGAATGCCATATTTTGGAGGAACAATATGATAAAAAGATGACTTGTATTTGAAGTTGACAAACAATTTGTGAGAATGTAGTGTGTGACATGAACTTCACTTGGAAAAAAATTTGTGAGTGAAAATAAACATTTCACTTGAAATGCACTTTTAAATCAACATCAATATTTTAGTAGAAATTTAAATAACGAATTTTTAATATGCTCATGACCGAACAAGTGCATGCAAAAGACTCAAATTCAGTATTTAAAAATACTGAAGCACTAATGTCATGACAGTTAATTATACTTTTGTGTCAAGCTAGTAAAAGTTAGTTGTACGCGTCATCTCAATATTTAGAAGATTAATCCTACTTTCTCATTAAGTTGAACTTTTGGTTTAAAATACTAGACAAATTAAATTCAACATCTTGGGTTTCTCAATTTTAAAGTAGTCCTATTTAAGCAAACGCTTCCTCAACAAACAAACAAAGGAACGAATCCACTTCTCTCTCTCAATCATTCACGTAACAAACAAAGTCCAGAACCTTCCCTTAATTTAGTCAGTAAGTTATACCGGATCCGCCGTCTTCGTCAATCTCATTCACGTTCTCTCCACGCTTCTATAGGTACACTTTCTCTCTCTACGCGGCCACGAAAGCAAGTAACATGCTTTTGTCAACCGCCTTTAACTTCATTTTACTCTTCTCAGTTCGCAGCCTTACAACTTCAATTTCACACTAACTGCCTCTATTTATCTCCAGATCTGCATTTTTCTATTGCATCATTAAATTGTTAATCACTTTTGCTTTGATATTGTTAATCACTTCGCAAGTTGCAATATCGCAAATTCTGACATTGCAGATCTTTCGAAAAGTGTGAAAAAACACGAAAAAAGGACGATTTTATTGGCAATGGCGACGCTTCGCGTACTCTCTCTTGCGCTTCTCTTTGCGGTTTTATCTATTCAACATTGTATTTGTGCAGATACGCCGGAAAGTTCACCGAGTCCGTCACCGGAAGCCGGCGGAGATGTAGTTTCTCCACCGCCAACCGCTGCGGCTCCTGAAAGTCCAGCACCGTCACCTTTAGCAAATGTGATCAGTTCTCCTCCATCGCCTCCGCCTGCAGATCGCTCTCCTGATTCTGCTCCGGCGCCATCCCCCGGCGAAGCCGACGACGATGCTACGTCGAATGACTCTCCGTCTCCTTCTCCTGCTCCGGCGCCGAGTGACGTAGTTGCGAGTGATATAAGCCACGAGAGTATTACGGAGGCGAATGAGTCGTCGTCAATGAACGGTGGGAAGAAGGCTGGAGTAGCATTCGGAGTGATCGCAGCGGCGTGTGTTGTAGGGCTCGGTGCATTGGTTTACAAGAAGCGTAGGCAGAATGTCCGACGAGCACAGTTCGGTTACGCTGCCAGGAGATCAGACTTTCTTTGAGTAATTGCATGCTTCATACATCACTTTGCTATACGTAATATTGTGTTTATATTCATGAATAGATTTGTAGCAGTCGGGAGTTTGGAGGAGAATTTCATTAGCATTACTACTATAATTGTTTGATTCTTTATTCACTGAATAACAGTCCTTTCTGAGTTTATTTTTTAGAAATTTTGATTCTCCATTATTGGTTATCGAATAATTGTTTTTCAGATGATTGAGAAATTTTAGTTTGACTAGTATTTATAGACGTTCGTAGAGTTCCACGTTAATAATGGCAGATGATCATTTAAACATTTATTAAAGTATTCTTCTTGGCATCATTTTCCATTGAGTTTTTTCATCTTCTACGGAGTCAAAATTAAAAAAATATTTTATTTTTACCATAAAATCTATTATTCCACCTTTTATTTAGTTGATCAATATATTCATTTCTGCTAGCTAAGATAGTTCTTTAATTTCTATCATGTAATTTGTACAAATTGCGTTTTAATCTAATAAATTGCGTTTTGCACAAATTGCATTTTGAAAATATTTTTCTTTATTAAATACACTACTATTACCATAGGATTTTGATAACCAAGTGTTCTAGAAAAACCAAATTATCTTTTATTGGATGCTCTTCTTCGTTTCTTTTACGAAGTAAGAAGTCACTGAATGTTGGATATGTTCTTACTTTTATATTTCTTGTCATTTGAATATTTTTCATTTGAGGTCATAAGTATAATTTTGGAAAGCTAGCTTTTACCGTTTTTACTTTGGTCAATTTTGGAACTACTGATTGTACTTGACAGAAATCACCTCCCAAACTATTATTTTTCTACCAAACGGTTCATCGATATCCAATATATCTCTAAAACTCTAAGCGATTTTTCAATCGTTTAATGCGTAGCCAAAATCACTTCATCACATATTATCACTTTTGCTTTCCTTATAAATTTAGCACTATTGATCTAATTTGATATATTTGCGATGGTTATTTCAGTTATTTGAAGAGGTATATCAAATCTAAAATGAGTTGTACAACCTCATAATAAAATCGTTGCTGGTACACCATTTGTTCTTATTGCTAACAATATCATGCCTCTTGATCTAACATTTGCAAGTAATGCATGACATAGGAATATTATTTCGATTCCGCTGGAGGCATCCACAAAGGATAATGTAACGACCCGACCGGTCGTTTTGAACTTTTGCACTTTGATCGCCAGTTCCCGGGCATGACTTGCCACGTGTAACGTATTATGACTGATGTAGATCGTTGGTTTTGGTTTTCAGGAAAAATCAGAATGAATTTGAAGGAACAGTCTCAGTTGAAAGCTTTGAATTTGAAAGGTTTGACTAAGAGTTGACTTATTTGTATATGAGCTCGAATAGGAAATTTTATGATTTGGATAGCTTCGTTGGGTGATTTATGACATAGAAGCGCGAACGGAATGCATTTTGGAAGTCCGTGGAAGGATTTGGCTAGAATTGGCAAAGTTAATATTTTGGCGAATTCCGGTTGATAGGTGGGATTTTGATCCGAGGGTCGGAATGGAATTTCTAGAGTTGCTGTAGCTTCGTTATCTCATTTGTGAAGTGTGTGCAAAATTCCAGATCATTTGGACGTCGTTTGGTCGGCTTTTTGATCGAATTCGGATTTCGAAAGTTTTGGAATTCTTAGGCTTGAATCCGAGGGTGATTTGATGTTTTGATGTTGTTTTGAGCATTCCGAAGGTTGGAACAAGTTTGAATTATGTTATGGGGTGTGTTGGCATGTTTGGTCGGGGTCCCATGAGGCTCGGATATGTTTTGGAAAAGTTTTTGGAAGATTTTGCCGTTTTGAGCATAAGCATGTAATGATCTAAAGGTCCATTTTTAGTTCTAGAGATCGAAATTTGATTCTGAGACTTCCGAAATTTTGATAATGAGTTATAGGACTTATCTAGAAAGTTTTGTCTAATTTCATCAAGTCGTGATTGGGTTTTTGACACGAAACATGAGTTAATTGTTTAACGAG